CCATTGGTGCTTTCTCGGTCCGTCCGTGGTGGAGGGAGGGGGCGGGCTCACAGGCAAGGGCGGGGGGGGAAAGTCCCAAGCGGGACCAGCGGCGGCCGCTCCAGTGGGCGGTTTCAAACTCTGGATTGGTTTGTCGAAAGCTTTGGCACCTGCCTTGGGAGCTACTGTTGGCCACAGCTGCAATGCCTCTGAAACATATCTAAGATACTTGGCTAGCAGCTGGTTCTGCTGCTGCTGGGCTTCGACTTCGTTCTGGCTTGGCTGTAAGGCTCGGGCGGTAGCGATCTTAGCAAGTTTGTCGGCCGCCTCGTTGCCTTTCGCCCTTCTCCAATCGAGAGTGGCAGGCTGGAGCTCCGAATTATTGACGTGCGCTTTGATCTTGTTCAGCCGCGGCCCAAGGGGGGTCGGACAAGCGCCGCCCAGGACCTTGAAAGCTCCGTAGAAATCGGTCCTTGCGAAACCAGCCTTCTTATGCACGTCTATGGCTCCTCGGTGATCAACGTACATCTGGGCGTGTGGGTGGGCGTTGAGGCCAGCAGCAAGCACGGCGCAGTGCTCAGCAAGGGGGGAGGAGGAGGGGAGGTGACTGCCCACGCGCCCGATGAGGTAGGCAAAAACTTCCCCGTGCCCGTCGATCGATATGACCGTTCAGCCCGCTGCGATATAAGCTTTATGCCCCCTGGTTTCAAGCAGGACCCGTCCGTGAACATTTCCCCAGCCAGGGCTTCCTCAGGCCTAAGGCTGGGGTCTCTGCACCAGAACTCGGCATGTTCGAAACCAACCCCCTCAGGAGCCCCATTATCGAATTCTGGTTGGAATTGATACCCACATGCTAAGGCCAGATCAGACACCTTCGAAATCGTGTCAAGCTCGTCGGTCGTGAAAGGCGCCCTAAGGGCGGCGCTGAGAGGGCAGTGCAGGAGGCAATGCTTCAAATCATCTCTAGCATGTCCGCACTGGCACCGGCCATCTGTATCGTACCCTGCACTCTGCAGGCGCGCGTTAGTCCAGATGCTTTGGGTGAGAAAACTAATCAGGGTGGATCTGGCCTTCTTGGGTAAGGTAGGCTCCACCAATATTTTCCTAGTTATGTCCACATTAAGGGTCTCCTGGGGGTGTCCTTGCTTCTGGGCTGCCTTCTTGAGGACGGCTTGTTCCAGGGCCTCCTGCATCTTTTGCGAAATCATTTTGGGCGTGCAGGTTGTGAGTGGCAGACGGGCTCCGCTTGCATCCTGCAGCTCAAAAACAGAAAAGAAACTCCAACCGATTCGGCGCAGGGAAAGCACGGCAGCCCCAAAGGGGCCTATTTCGGCAGCCCATTTGGAGGGAGGGGTAAGGAGGATGGACTCAGCGAGGGCCTTCAGCTCTAGGAGTTCCCGAGGATGACTCGGACGTGTCGCAGCGCGCCAAACAGTAGTCGCCCGCGTCAAGGCGGGTCCGAGTCCCGCTCTCCACGTTGGGTCTCCTAGCACCGCCAGACTCAGAGATCGACTGCGTCTCGCACAACGGGGGCCCGCCTCCTTGAGGTACTCAGTCTGGAGGTTCTGGAGCTCCTGGGGGTCTACACCAACCACTTCCGTGCCATGCGTAAGGGCCTGCTGAAGTCCCGTCTTCCAAAGTTTACGTGTGTCCCCTCCCGCAATCCTAATCGACCATATTCGGTGTCTTCTATGTTTGTGTCTAACAAAACGTTTGTACAGGGTGGCCATGGCAAGTCTTCTATTGATTCTAAGGCGCGAGCCTCCCGCAGAGCTATCTATTCTCACATTGGTGGCTGCATGTGCATCAGTCGGCGCTAAGGGTGACGGGCGCGACGGGGACCAGGCCCGCAGTTCCGGGTACCACGACGCCTGGACTGGAAAGCGCCCGCGGCGCTGACTGTCGTCGGCCTTACCACACCTGGCCCGCAGCACCACTGCCTAATTTGCCAACCACTCCCACTACCTGCGTCCCCGTCCCCGAACCACACCCCCACCTGACACCCGACTGGGGACTTCGTGTCCTTCTCCCCCCCTTTCCCTGCGACCCCTCGCCCTTGTGGCGCCCGCAGTCCACGTGCTGGCTACCCCGCCCGTTCACCTGGGCCCCGTCCTCTCCTCCTCCTCCTCTCCTTCTCTCCCGTTTCCACAGGAGCTGGGACTCTGTGTCCTACCTGTACCCATCGGCTGTTTGAGATTCCATGACCTGGGACTCTGTGTCCCCCCTGTACCCATCGGCTGTTTCCAAAGGATCTGGGACTCTGTGTCCTACCTTTACCCATTGGCTGTTCGTGATTCGAGGATCTGGGACTCTGAGTCCCCCCTGTGCCCATCGGCTGGACGTGATTCAAGGATCTGGGACTCTGTGTCCCCCCTGTAGTTACCTGCGACGCATTGGTACGCCAGCGACGTGCGTGACACGCCCGCGCTGGGGCCTCGGGTCTTACGTGTACGCATTGGGGCATGTCCCCACGTGGGCACCTCGGTGCTCGCTGGCGGCATTCCGGCTGGCGTGGGACGCTGGCCTCTCTCCTCCCTGTTCGCTTTTTCCCTCCCCGCTCGCTTTCCCCCCTTCCCATGGCGGCGGCGCCCGGCACAGCGCGGCTCTGGCCCGGTGCTGGCACTGCACCTTGCCGCCTCGGCGGCCACGCTCACCCTGGGCAGCGCGGCTCAGGCCCGGCCCGCGGCAGGCGGACGCAATCGGCTTTCCGGCCGAACCTCTTGGCTTCTACCTGGACGTGGATTGGACTACCACCCTAGGCCGCTACCGACCACCCGGTGGCACAACGTTGCACATCGCCTTCGTGGTCGTCCTCATCTCTTGGGGCTCTCCTTACCAGTCGGTGGCACCTGGTGCACTTCGCCTACCAGGTCTTCCTCTACCTCACGGGCGTTGACCTGGTCACGGCCCTCCCTACGCAGCACTCGAGGATGGTGATTCTGGCGCGCCGTTCACGGCGACGCCACTTCGCTCTCCCTCCGGGATTTCGCCCCCGGCTCCTGTCCAAGGCGTACCTTTTCCTGTGCAAGCTCTTCGGCGCCGCCTGTACTCCGCACCCTCCGGCCGCCTGGGGTCCCGCCCGCCCGCGCCCTGTCTCCCCACTTAGTGCTTCGCGCGCTCCGCTTAGCTCTTGACCGGAAGAGGCCCGTTCTCGACCCGCCGACCAAAAACAAAGTGCACCAATCGGGCTGGCGTACTTCCCAAGGGCCTTCCGAAGGAGTCCACGCAGTCTGGCGGTGGGAGCGATGGCCTGGGCCTTGTGCAGTGCGAGCTTGCAGTCTAACTCGTCCTGCACAAGGATGGCGAGCCTAGCCGCGGATTGTTGCAGCTGTCGGACAAGGGCTTGCGGGTCGTTATATTGTTGTCCAAGGAACGGGTCGTCGATGAACATATGCAGTCGGTTCTCTGGGGATTTTGGAGGGTCCAGGCGCCCGGGGGTCCCAGACTGTAAACTTGAGATAAAAAAAAGGTAACCCATCCACAACCAGCTGCAATACCTCGGGTAGGGTGGTCCACCAGTTGGACCAGGTCTCGGGTAGCAGCCAGTCTCGTGCTGCTGTGCTGGCTTAGAATGACCTTCAGGAGGGCGCTGCCTGTGTCGTGGGCCCTCTCTATCAGCTTCCGGTGACTAATGTGCTCATAGTTGTTGCTGGGGTCCCACAGCGCAGTTCCTGAGTGGAGCGGCTGTCGGCAGATCACTCCGTGCTCCGCCTAGAGACTCTGGCGAAAAAAAACAATGTCGGTGACACTTTTTTCCCGC